ACACACACACACATACACATACATACATACATACATACATACATACATACATACATAGTATATACATGGTTGTTTGTCCCCACATAAATTATGACTCTTTAGAGGCCAGGAGTAAAGACAACATCAGAAGGTTTTTCAGAATAGAAAGAACCGTTGCTTTCAGAACCTGTGTGTTACTGCTTTTCATAAAGCGGGTGTTTCAAGTTATGTAATTACATACAATTACTGTGTTAAGTGGGACCAGAGACCGAGGAGAAGTAAGGCAGGTATTAAGATAGTTGTTGTGGACTTTTGTGAACTATTATGACATTTTAGTGACCTGAGTTGGAGAATCTGGGAGTAAATGTTTTTCCCACTCAAATTATAGTCTGAGAAAGAGTGATATGCCTGATTACAGTTGTCAGTTACCTGTAATGATATTTCATGTAAAGAGTGGTAAAACCAACTAAGTACCTATGGCACATCACCTCAGCCCTACTTAGAATGGTGGGGTGCTGCAGTTCAGCTTTTCTAAACTCAAAGGCTTTGTTTCAGCTTTTATACTGTATGAGCTCCCAGATTATCTGGTGGCATTGAGATGACTGGTGACAGTGTCTGGTGATCATGTCTAGCTTATGCTTAGAAGGCTGGAAACTGTCCTCTTCAATGAGCCCTTCTGAACTGGTTGGTATAGTGCCAGTATGGATTGAAGCCAACCAAAAAACAAATAATCATCAGGTCTGACACAATGAAACAGAGTGATAAGTTTGAAGCCGAGCCCACAAAAACAGAGGCAAAGCCTTGGCAGCCCTGACAATGACAGAAGTCTCAGTCGGTTTGTTCTTCTTAAAGAGCTCCAGCTTCAGGTGATGAAAGTCATCTTTTAGCTATGTATGAATACGATCTCAGTTCACACAGCCAGCCATCTCAAATTGTGTTGTTTTTTCTTTTCACCTACAGTTTGACATTATAGATACCATCAGCCCTTGTAATTCCATCCACTAGAATGTCCCTTTCCACACTGCAAAAAATGTCCACCTAACCAAGTTTTAAAATCTTATATCCAGCCAAAAAGTCTTTTTGATCTTGTTTTGAGACTGATTTACTAAACAAGAACTGATTGTGTTAATCTTGTTTTCAGAATGTGTAAAGGTTATTTG